ACATGGGAATTATGGGAGCTACAATTCAAGATGAGATTCAGATGAGGACACAGCTAAACCGTGTCACCCAGCTATCCAGATAAGCAGATATTGGCGGGGAGGCATGTGCTGCAAAGCCAAGCAGACTCAAATGCAGGTTTTGCCTCTGCTAGCCAAGTGATTTTAAATAAGTTGCCCAACTTTTCTGACCCTCAGATTTTTTACTTGCAAAATGTAGTCAATAATAAACTCTCCTGGAGCAGCTTTGAGGATTAAAGAAAACCAAATATGTAGCATGACTAAACAGAGACAAACGATTTTAGTATGAATGAAAAAGTGATGCTGTCTTTAGGATTTACAAAGTTGATGTGTTTAAAATGTTGTTCAAGCTCTGATGATCATTTTTCATAAACTGAATCAGTGCATCTTGTTATTTCAGGAATTCCAAAATGGGCAGTAGCCTTAAATTTGCAGTGCAAGATAGTGTACCCCTGCACATTTTATTCTAGTTTAAAGCTTTATGATAAGGCATTCACTAGGAATAGGATAGACATCTATTTACTGTGGGGCTGGGTGAAATGGTTCACACTTGTAATCCCAGCACTTTGGGTGGCCAAGGCAGGAGAATCACTTGAGCCCAGGGGTTTGAAACCAGCCCTGGCAACACAGTGAAACTCTGCCTCTACAATTTTTTTAAAAATAAAATTAGTCAGGTATGATAGTGTGCACCTGTATTCCCAGCTACACAGAAGGCTGAAGTAGGAGGGTTGCTTGAGCCTGGGAGGTTGAGGCTGCAGTGAGCCATGATCATGCCACAGCACTCCAGACGAGTGAGACCCTGTCTCTAAAAAACAGACAATAAAATAAAATAAGTTGAATCACTATGGCTCAAGGTCACTATATTTACATATTTAGATACCTGATCCAACATCACGTGCTCAGAGATGCCCTCCCTAATCCCTGTTACTCTATGACTCCTCACAGTTTTCCATTCTTCCTCAGAGTACTTGGCACTTCCTAATGAAGCTGTATACTTGCTTGTTTATTGTCTGTTTTCTCAAAGTATAAGTAAGATGAAGTCAGGGACAATCTGTCACATTCATGGCCATATACCTAGCACTTAAAACATTTCCTGACACATCATAAACACACAAAATATCTACTGAATAAATAAATTAATATGGCTTGGACTTTTTAAAGCTGAAATGGGCATGGTAACATTCACTACTGCGAAGGAAAGATTTATCTATTGAAGAAAATAAATGTTGAGAACATAAAGTCACTCATCAGATACTGTTATTATTTGAAACCATTTTTCTATAGAAGTATTAGAAAACACTGGCTTGAGGCTGGGTGCAGTGGCTCACATCTAAATCCCAGCACTTTGGGAGGCCAAAGTGGGTGGATCAGCTGAGGTCAGGAGTTCGAGACCAACCTGGCTAATATGGTGAGACCCTGTCTCAACTAGAAATACAAAAATGAGTCAGGTGTGGTGGTGGGCACCTATAATCCCAGCTATGTGGGAGTGTGAGGTAGGAGAATTGCTTGAACCTGGGAGGCAGAGGGTGCAGTGAGCAGAGATCATGACACTGCACTCCAGCCTGGGTGACAGAGCAAGA